AAATAGTCCTAATTACTGCAAAACAACTCTTTCTAATGTTTCTGAATACATAACAAATAATTCAACCTCTTGGTCTTCCTGCATTTAATTATCTTCCTCACAATGCTTGGTTTTATCCTCACAAGGGAGCAATTAATTGAATGCAAAGCACTGAGAATGTGAACAAAATATCAAAAATATGCTCTTTACCTCGGCTGAATTAAGACAATACAAAGACAGATTTCTGGCATTAAATGGCAGACAAGAATACGCTGCCTGATTTACTTTCTTTTCCAAACAAAAAATGTCTCTTTGTGCGGAGTCTCCAGGGATGATTGTGATTGGAGAGAATTCCAGGTTAATTCAAGCTTCATACTTATGAGTAATGGCAGGATTGCTCAGTCTCTCTTTCTCTTTGTCTCTCTCTCTCCATTCTTCTTCTAAAACCCCTCTCATCTCTTCTGTCGCTTTTAGTCCCTTTCCCCTCGAGGAATCTGTTTTGCTGTCCATATACCTGTCCAAACAACTCAAGCAAAGAGTGACCTTTCAGAAAGTACAGGGTCAGAAGGAATAGGTAATGCATCATGGTTTGATTCACTGTGTCTAAATAACCCTTCTTAATACCAGTGTCACAACAGGTCAGGAGAACTGATCCAGTCAATGATCTAATTCATCTGCTCAGCCATCGAGGAAACAAATCAGTTCTACTTCAGATAATGTTAGCTGTCAGGCATTTAATGTGGAATATATGAAAACCTCTTATAAGACCAGTAAAATGGTCATTTACTTGCCTTTATGTGTTCTCTCCAACTGAGTGAAAATGAGTGCTTACAAGGGGAAAAGTAACATGGCAGTAGGAGGATGCTGTGACATCCAGTGGCATGTAAAGTATGTGCTTCGGATCTGAAGAAATACATCAAGCATTCCTCATCACTGTGAGTTAAATGCTGCTGTATGTGTCTCCCTAACTCTCTGTGAGTCTTCTCCTTCTGATTCAAGGTTACTGCTTAAGGACAGGACTAATCATACCCAATATGAATGACCCACAACGTCACATTTGTCAATGTATTAGTATTCAAAACACACGATCAACCATCTTTTTCTCCCCTGTACAGTCTTACATCCTGCTCTAGACTAATTACTGGACTGTCCTCATTCAAAGCGTTGTTGTTGCACTAAGCTTAGTGGATCAATGAAATTCCATTTGAGAATCTGTTGCCCACGACGACTCTGGTTGGCCATCCCTAAAAGAAGGCCCTAATAGCAATTTACCGTTGTCCTTTCCCAAGGACAGTTCTCTTTATTTCACAATAATACGTAATAAGCGCTAAATAAACCATTAATCCTCTCAGGACTTTCTTCATGTACAAAATGGCTTTTTGCACGTAGACTGCATTCAACTAAAAGACGGTAATTGAGTTTAGCATGTGTGTGTAATAGTGAAAAATGATGATGTCCATGTCTTATTTTCCAATTTCTGTGCTTCCTCCTCATTGTATTGTTGATATAATGAGCCAAAATTAATTCACAATGCAGCTCAGGCAGTATGAATGATGTGTCTGTGTTTCTTTGTGTGAGTAGGTGTGTTTGTAAGTGATGCATGAAAGTATATCAATAAACCTGTCATCTCCACACATCTCCTCCTGTCCTCTTTTCTTGCAAATTGCAGCTTTCTTTCAATCAGTGTACCATAAATGGGACATGGTGTTATTTGCTATTCCATCTTTTAATTCTCTGTATCTTCCTGTAGGCTGCTACATCTATTTATCATCACACTATGGACATCTGCTGCGACAGATAGGACAGATAGTCCAGTGGTCCTCCCCTCCATCCTGTGTCATATGCACTGAATAAACAGATTAAATGGAGCCATGCATCCATGCAAACTAGCACAGACATGAATGGCTAAACATGCAGAATCTTGCAGATTATTATATGCTTGCACGGAAATAGACACACTGTCATATACACAGTATCCCGGCTATAATTAAAGTATTATTCACTAAATTAGGGATATTACTTTATGAATATAAATCAATCAAAAATGCAATTCTGTGAAGATTAAAGTTGAAAAAGTGTCTTTTAGCTTTGCTTCCATAGATAAACCACACTAATAGTTTCATCCAAAACAAGACAATTATTCTTATTAAAACGTTTTATTTTCCTTTAGAATAATAAAAAAATATCAAAATTAGCTGCCATATACAAGTACAATCATAAGAGCTAATGGAGATATAATGGGACACCCGGATAAGCTATACGAAGAGAATAGGGGGCCCAGACACTAAACATTACCTATTTACTTTTTAAACATCTAGATTGGAGAGAGTTCATTTAATATACAGAAACATTACAAGCTAAAAACATGCAACACATGCCAAACACTCTAAATACTAAACTACTTTAAACCCACTGTCTATTAACATCACCTGCATTTATTTTGAACAAATATGTTGAACAACTCTTTCATTTCAGTGCAAAAAAGATGTAACACACACTGTAAACAACTTATCCACACTGACAACAGCCCTTGTGAGACATGACACCAAGTTGACTACAATGCAGGTGAACTATAAAAATATGTTATCAGAGTGTCTCTATTCTGTCCTCTGTTTCCAGCTCACATCTGCATTGACAGGAAGCTTTGCCAAATGTATTATGGCAGCACATCAAAGGGATGATTATGGTACGATTTTTGGAAGGACCACAGTTAGTCAGTCAGCCTTTACAGGCCCCATACAGATATCAAATCACGAGCAGCTATCTTCTTTGGACACTGCCACCACAATTGTAGATGTAATGTGTGTGTGTGTGTGTGTGTGTGTGTGTGTGTGTGTGTGTGTGTGTGTGTGTGTGTGTGTGTGTGTGTGTGTGTGTGTGTGTGTGTGTGGTGTGTGTGTGTGTGTGTGTGTGTGTGTGTGTGTGTGTGTGTGTGTGTGTGTGTGTGTGTGTGTGTGTGTGTGTGTGTTGGAGGTTGATGAATAACTGCTGAATGTCTCAATGCTCATTGAGACACACTTCTGTTGACAAAATACAAGATGTCAGTTTATGTGGTACTCCTATTCAAGCCATTTGGGTGTGAAATTGTGGTTATATAAATGAGCCACATCAGAGATAAATGAACCCATTCTTGTGCAAATGAAACAGGGGACTGAATTGGACCAGGCTCTGAAAGATGTTCTCATTGTTAATATTGGCCAGTATTACTAATGATTTATTTATCACTGATGAGACTGACCTGGATCACACATCCATGGGTCATGCCCAGCACACAGACATGTAATCTGTGGTTTTGTTCACAATCTTTCCCTTATTGTATACACCATCTGATGTGAATACAAGCAGCACATTATCTCTAGATGTGATTAAATAGATCATGAAATAATCACAGCAAAGTAAAAGAGGCTGTGTGTTAGTGATGAAATCAAGGCTTGAGTTGGGCTCCATGTTGAAATTGGTCCTCGGCTGTGTGAGCTATATGTCTTCTAATGTGTCTGACAGTCCATTTTCATCATCAACGTCCTTCTCCCAGGAGTGAAATAATGTCTGCCCTCCAGGCAATGTAAATGAAGAGAAATGTTAGAGCCTGGCCCGGGGATCAGACAGTGGATGGGTGAAGTTAAACGTGATTTAAACTAATTGATGTATGGCCTCACTCCATCTCAAGGGGTGAAACCTAGAAATGTCATGTTAGGATGTAATTACCTACATTGCAGTCTCTTGTTTCATGTTTGAATATAGACTAACATGGATATTTTTCACTCATAAAGCAAGGCAAGTTATCGCTCTAACACATTAACATGTCAGAATTACTTTAAAATCAGCTGAAACCACTCTGTATTAAATATCCTCTTTAACATATGGCCGGACTTCAATGTTTTATTAACTACTATTTCTGAGTACCAGAGCATGCTTCAGTTAAGGTTGAATTAAGAATGGTTTTACAGTGGATTAGATGTGTTTTTAAATGCAGGAGCCCTGTCAAAGCTCTGCTTTTAGGAAGAATTTGAAGGTACATTTAAATTCGGCAACCTTCAAGGCCTGATTGTTTATTCAAACAAATGTCAGCTGTGTCATATGCCATGATTGGGGTTATGACACTCTATCAAGTACGGGGAGTAAATTAAATAGTCTCATAAAATGCACAGAGACCATATTATGGTGATTAATAAATTTAAAATAATTACCAGGCCTATACAAAAGCCTATTCCTTTTAAAGTCTCTATTAGTGGCTTAAGAAGAGGAATTGCAAGAATATTAAAATAAAAGAGAAATATAATCAATATCACATGAATAGAAAGTCAAAACATGCCCCCCCCCCCCCCCTCCCCCAATAAACATTAGTTGAACTTTCTGTGATATCATGCAGTTAGTTCAGACATTATGCTTCATACACATGAGGAAATAACTTACCTTAAACACACTTAGTCACATTTTGAATACTAATCTATGAAAGCCTCCAGCAGGCCTAATTCAGATGTCATTAGTTGTAATAGTTCAATAGCTGACAGCTACCTCCCTCTCCAGCCAGTTTGAACTCTTAAACTCTGGGAGGCCTAGAGTCTCTGGCAGCTAAAAATGTATTTAGGAAAACCTCATCCCAAGTGCCCTCAGTATTCCTCAACAAAACTCAACATAGTGACTGAGTAGATGTAGGCACTAACTGGTTTAATTTATTATAATGTGTAATATGACATTGTATATGTTTGTTTTTACTATCTGTCTTTCTGGTTTTTAGGTGTCTAGTAATAAATTGCCACCCTGTTGGACGATACAGATATTATTATCTATTATTTGTATTATTCTTCAGAATGTGGCGCCCTCCTGTGGCTTCAACGTACACATTATATTCGTTTAAAACATAATGAATAACATAATGAAACACGTTTAATCACACAGTTACACGGCGAGGCATGGGGAATGAGCACGTTATTCCACGCATAGACTGTGAATCCACGTCAACAATTTAGAACTAAATGAATATCATGAGATATTTAACAGAAACGCTCCTGCCTGTGGGGGCGCTGTTACAAACACTCTAAGGAAACTTTGGCTGCTGCTGACGGAAGTGCGACTGTTGTTTATCCGGCGGTTATCCTGCTCGTCGTTGGAAAAACGATGGCTAGCTCCGCAAAACAAGGACCTAAAATTGTCTCCAAATCCTCTGCGGGAGGCGCCGGGGTGGCGGGGGCCGGCGGCGGGCTCCCGGTGATGCCCCTCGCCTCTCCGCTCATGGGGAAGAAGAAGAAGCCGTTTCTGGGGATGCCCGCTCCGCTGGGCTACGTGCCTGGTCTGGGCAGAGGGTAAGCTAACGAAGCTAACACGCTTAGCTAGCTTGCTAACAACTGATAGCTCTGTAGCTAGTTGGTTAGTTGATGTATGTTAAATGAAAGCTAAGCAAACTGTCTTGCGTATTCATATGATTGTCAACTGAGTTTGGGTGTAAAAACATTGCAACAATATGCATTAGATATGTATACGCACATAATAGTAGCTAACGTTAGTTAAATGAATGAAGATATTAGCTCGCATTAGATGCATTGTTTTAATGTCCTTCTTACTGTAATGCCTTTTAAACCTTTTTAAAAGTAAAATGTACCAGGAACTTTAGGTATTAAACGTTTATATTTATTGTTGACCCCGCACAGCCTGCCGACAACTTTCTGCGAAATCATTTGAAAGTGAAAAACCAATGCTTGTCCCAAAACGATTAGTATCTTTCTGGCTTAAGTGACAAGACAGCATGAGTCAATCATCAAAAGCTAGAATGCTTCACTAAGACAGCACAAATAAACTTGTGAAGCAACCCTCACCAGCTGGTTATGTTTTACGGTTAATCCTGTGCATGATTATCACAAGTGTGCCCATGTTAATTTGTCTAAATAAAGTTTGTTTTAATTGCTCCTCTTAAGTGCAACTGGTTTCACCACCCGATCTGATATCGGTCCTGCTCGTGATGCAAACGATCCAGTGGATGACCGACATGCAGCTCCAGGGAAGAGGACGGTTGGGGACCAAATGAAAAAGAAAGAGGAGGATGAAGAAGATCTGAACGACACAAACTACGATGAGGTGCTTTGGACTTATGACTGTCTGACTGTTATTTGATGATTATATGTTAATAATTAATCCAATCACTCAATATTTAAAGTTGACCAGACATTAACTGCCTTTTATATGATTGTTTTGGTCATTCTTATACCACAATAATGTTTTTTTTTCTTTTAGTTTAATGGATATGCTGGTAGCTTGTTCTCCAGTGGGCCCTATGAGAAGGATGATGAAGAAGCAGATGCTATATATGCGGCACTGGACAAGAGGATGGATGAGAGACGCAAAGAAAGAAGGTTACTAAAACATCTTTCAATTTTTCACCTGAGTTTTAGGGGATATATAGTACGTTTGAAATCCTGTGCACTTGTTGCATCATGTGAATGACATCTTGAATGCTGTCCTTTTTTATTTTCAGGGAGCTGAGGGAAAAGGACGAAATCGAGAAATACCGTATGGAACGACCCAAAATCCAGCAGCAGTTTTCAGATCTTAAGGTATATGATTACATAACATTATCCTATACTGCCCTCTTCTTACACCTGTCTCTAATGGTTTTGAGGAAATGTTTTCCTTTTCGTTAGATAATCACATGTTTACCAAACTATGAACAGCAATTGAACTGGAGACAACAGCAGTATGCTGCCATCACTTTGTTAAAAGGAAACATTGTCTTTGACAATTTGACACAGAAAAGCAGTTTAAGGATAAATCAATTATCAAAATAATGGCCAGTGCTTTTCTGTTGACCCAACTATGAATAAGTCTACTTGGTGTTGCAGCCCTGTTACTGACATTCCACATGAATTAGCTACTCTATTTCATCTCTCATCATTTGCTATTTTCCACTTCTTCACAGAGAAAGTTGTCAGGGATGTCAGAGGAGGAGTGGCTGAGCATCCCTGAGGTGGGAGATGCCAGGAATAAGCGCCAGAGAAATCCCCGCAATGAGAAACTCACCCCTGTCCCCGACAGCTTTTTCTCCAAACATCTGCAGACTGGAGACAAGCATACCACAGTTGACCCTCTGCAAGGGGTCAGTATACAAACACTCATCCACATCCTGCAGGCATCTGCATATAACATATTACTAAAACACATAATGTAGTTTCAGCCTGCACCAGCAGGAGTCAGGATTTATCTAAAAAAAAAAAACAGAAGTTTTTATGCTGTTATGAAATCTCAGTAGACTCAGTGATTAAGAATTATTTTTGAAATATATATGTTTTAATAGTGTAGAGAAAGAAAAAGCACATTTAACTGTGAAGACACATGCTTTACACACTTTGTATTTCAAAAATGTATAAAATAATGCCATGTACATACGGCATTCTCCAAAACATTTATTATTCACCAGAATAATTTTTTCACAGGAATTATTTACAGAAATTTAGAGAAAATGTCATAAGATAGAGGCCTATGTTTCATAAACCTTTTTGCCATTCCATTACACATTTCTCACAGAGGGAATCATTTTTTTCTTAATTGACATTGTTCCCATTCTCCACTAGCTGGCAGGTCTGAACACGCCCTACCCGGGAAGCATGACACCCGGGACAGGAGAGCTGGACATGAGGAAAATCGGTCAGGCCAGGAACACACTTATGGATATGAGGCTCAGCCAGGTAACTTATGATCTTCCTTTACCTGTATTCTATCAATTGTACTTTTAGATTCTGTCAATACACAATATTTGCTGTTTCTCTTACCTATCACTGCATTTGATCAATCATTAGGTATCTGACTCAGTGAGTGGCCAGACAGTGGTGGATCCTAAGGGTTACCTGACTGATCTTAACTCCATGATCCCCACACATGGGGGAGACATCAGGTAGAGACACACCGGCAATACAATAGAGTTCCTGTATTTGTGTTAATAAGTTGTGGGTTTGCCTGATGGTTCTATGTTTGGTTCTCCTGTCCAGTGACATCAAAAAGGCTCGTCTGCTATTGAAATCAGTGAGGGAGACCAATCCTCATCACCCGCCTGCCTGGATCGCCTCTGCCAGGCTGGAGGAGGTGACGGGCAAACTGCAGGTGGCCAGGAACCTGATCATGAAAGGCACAGAGATGTGTCCTAAGGTAAACGATGGTGGACACAAGTATATCAAAACTATTAAAGGCCTGAGCCCATAGGCAAACACCCAACGTGTCAGAAGCTCTACTAGACCATAGATTGGGTAAAATGTAGTGATGTGTTAGGTATCTGTTGTTGTTATACAGTCATGTTTAGAAGAATGAAACCTATAAAATCAAAGCGGTACTGTCCATATGTGATGCAGTTGTTTTTTTAGACCTTATTGATGTAAGTGGTTCTCTTTGCCCATTAGAGTGAAGATGTGTGGCTCGAGGCCGCCAGACTCCAACCCGGCGACACAGCTAAAGCCGTGGTGGCCCAGGCTGTCCGCCACCTGCCGCAGTCCGTCCGCATCTACATCAGAGCTGCAGAGCTGGAGACAGACATGAGGGCGAAGAAACGCGTCCTCAGGAAGGGTAAGTCTCCATGATAACATCAACGAAAACAATATATAGAACAGGGTTTGAAATAGCACATGCTCACATTGTTTGGAAGTTGATATCTTGGCACGGCATGTTGCTGTTATGTTTCTATGAGGAGACGTTGATGTGCCTCCTCCACAGGGCTTGAATACATAACAATTCCCCTGATTTGCATAAAAGGTTTCATATGGCAGCTGCAGTTCTGGCTTCTCATCAAGACCAGACACCCCAGTTGAACCATGGTGTTAATGCCCTAACATGAATGCATGAACACACACACACACACCCACATTGATATTTCCCAGCAGCATACCCCACTGACAGAGATGGATTTGGAGCTTCCTCTTTGGAAGAGCTGCCTCTACATGTCCAGTTGCCTCTGCTCTATAACAGTCTGCCTTCCACTCAGACACTATTGAACTTTACCACTACTGCCAAAAATAATGTTTGGTGTTTGTTTGTATTGCTTCAGTATGTTCACTGAAATCTTAAGTGTCTCCATTTCCTTTTTGGCACTGTCTGATGATGTGCTTACATAAGCAGGGCTCGACATTAAGGACTGCCCGATGGCCCGGGGCCATCTAGTATTTAGCTCGGGCAATGGAGCCTCTTCTGCTGGTTGCCCGACCGGGCAATCTATTATGCCAGTATCATGCAGCTCGCGGATCCAGTAATGAGTGACCCGACAGTAAAACTAAACATATCTATAACTAGTTACGGTAGTTTGAGAGGTCATTAAAATAGCTACGTGTGATATTCTAACCTGAAGTGTGTGTTGTGTTCTGCTCACCGCTGCATGTGATCATGCAGAGCTGCGTGTCGACTCGTCAGCAGCAGCTGATCTCTCTCTCTCCCGTCAGATTAGACTTCACTCGCGTTTATGTCCATATCGATCAGATCCAGCTGGTTCTAGCTAATGATATGACTACCTGCTTATTAAAAGACACCTAAACAATAAGTGTCGCTATGCAACCGGGTGAGGCCACAAAGTATAGCGCAGCATTATGCATTTGTTTACATGCCCACCGGAACCCTGAGGCATTACCAACAGATCAACGCACAATCAGCCCATACAGGACATCTCTTTCTCCACATTAAGTGTTAGACATTAGAGTTGACTATTCTTGTCTGTCACATAAGTGGCGCAACTGAAGCGGTATTGCGCTAAAGGGAAATAATTTTGACCGAAGAGATTTAGATTTGCCGGCTAACGGGAACTCTGACGTCCCATTTTGTGTGCTTCGCGAATGCGATCGGCTCCTCTCGACTGCTGCTTGGGTCTGCTCGGTCAGCTTCCGGATGAGGAGGCATTCGTTCGACCAACTTACAGTAGATAACATTACAAACATTTTTAATAGTGTAAATAATGTTTGTTTTGGCAGTTATAACTGAATGTAATATTTTCTACTTTTTTACATCTGGGAAGCCATTTGCCTTCATCAGATGGAAAGTGTCTTGATCAACAACTTAAGTATTTCTTATAAGGTCATGCAAGCGAGCAAACACAAACAAGAACAAACAAACAAGTGAAATGAAGAATAAAATTGAACAATATAATATTGTGGTGGTTCATCTTATAATTCAGTCTAGAGAATGCACCAGACAGCATCTAAGACCTGCAAACATCTAAATGTTCTAGGGGGAGGCCCCCCAAACCCTTCGTGCGTCATTTCGTCCGCGAGCATTTTTCAGGGCAATCTCTATTGGGCTCAGGGCCATCTGTAAATTAGCTTAGATGGCCCACAGGGCCATCTCCCAAAATCCTTAATGTCATGCACTGATAAGTGTGATCAATCATACTCTCAAACACTCAGAATAACGTAAATTACTTAACAATTGTGTTTTTTATTTTGTATGTAGCTCTTGAGAATGTGTCCAAGTCAGTTCGACTGTGGAAGACCGCTGTGGAGCTGGAGGAACCAGAGGATGCCAGGATCATGCTCAGCAGAGCTGTGGAGTGTTGCCCTACTAGTGTGGAGGTACCCTTGGTTAAATATGTGTCCAACATGAACCACTGCATATGACTAACAGAATGCCATCAATTGCAATGCAGCACTTGAGCCATTGCACCTACTTCCACATTTAATTATTCATGTCTGTCCCGTTTAGCTCTGGCTGGCCCTGGCCCGTTTAGAGACGTACGAGAACGCACGTCGTGTCCTGAACAAAGCTCGAGAGAACATCCCCACCGATCGCCACATCTGGATCACTGCTGCCAAGCTGGAGGAGGCCAATGACAACGTTCAGATGGTAGAAAAGATCATCGACAGGGCCATCACTTCTCTACGTGCCAACGGTGTGGAGATCAACAGAGAGCAGTGGATACAGGTGGGTTCCTGACACTTTATGGTTACGTTGACATCATAAAGAGAGACAGAGATTGTTTTTTCTGCAGCTGGTAATGTTAGAGGGAAAGTCCCTCCACTAAATAAATAGTACAATTTCATAAGCACCTAAGAAAGGCAACATTGTCAATATCAAGGTCTTTCAAAAACAAGGCTAATGCTGATCAAGGACAAATTATTCTGTAGTTATTGTGTAACTAATTCATCAGTAATGTTTGCTGGGGTATATCCCTTAATTTCAATCGTGAGTTTCAGATGAAACCACATTGATATTTTTCATAAAAGGGGAACAAATTATGATTGTGCCTTTGAACCTTTATGTTTTAGAAGTAAATTGTTCCAGCTTTGATAGCATGCCAGAATACTTCAGCTATTTCACCTGGGTGCAACAGAATACAAGCCAGACTGACATTTAGTTAAGTACAGTTCACAGCTGTTTTGCAATCATAGGCATTTGTGCAATTACTTTCCACAATGCTTTTTTATTTGTTTATTGTCCTTCACTACCTAGATTTTCATACCCCCGGCAAATTACGCGGTTATTGAGGCAGGTTCATCAGGGCCAAATGCCAGTACACTCATCGCAGCTGCAAGAACAGATGATCTTTGAAAATGGCTGGATTTGGCACTTCTTAAAAGGATCCCTTTGTGTATGGAACCCTAACTAGTCCTTTGTTCTGCTTATAATGGCACATTTCCACTGCAGCGCGTAGCACGGTTTAAGCGTGCCGTGCCAAACCCGGCCCGTTTTTTGTTGCGTTTCCACTAGGGGTAGTTCCGGCTAACGGGTACTGTTTCACAGTTTTTCTGGCTCTCCAAAATCCAGGTTCTTTCCGGGCTGAGTATGCTAAACTAGAGAGAGAATCGCTGGCAAGGGAGCTATAACTACAACAAGATGAACATATTTGACCGTGATTTAATTGTAATACACGTTTCAAAGTGATGCCGAAGTAACAACATACTGATACCGGTTAGTAAAAACCATGAATTAATGCTTTGACAAGTCTGCAGACAGACGGCAGGCGAAAAACCTTTTTAAAATGCGTGTTTTCTGAATGGAGACCGGCTATGCTAACGTTGTATATGCTCTGACCGTCCACACTCACAACAACGGCCTATACAGACATAAATAAACCAGCGACTGTATTCGCCATTACACAGGCAGTCTGTGGTTTGTACTTGTTTAACTTTTGTCTAGTTTCTGAACAGATATGAAGAGCTGTGAGCAGAGAATGTGCAGAGAATACCTCTCATAAATACTCATTATCTATAAACTGTAGGTCATCAACATGGCTGTACTGTAGGTATATTTAGGGGTTTTTGGTTACTGACCAATATTCTCTAATATTTCAGGTGTGTATCCCTTAACTCTTGAATTCCCTTCCACATACCACCCACAATCTTGATTTCTCTCCTCCTCTTTCTGCAGGATGCAGAGGAGTGTGACAAAGCAGGCAGCGTGGCTACCTGCCAGGCCGTGATAAGAGACGTCATAGGGATTGGCATTGAGGAGGAAGATCGCAAACACACCTGGATGGAAGATGCCGATAGCGTGAGAACTGAACTACTCAAGCAAAACTTATACACTGATAAATGAGGGGTAATTCACATACTCATTTCTCTGTCGGGGTTCAACTTAACTGAGATGCTCTTCTGTTATGTTTCAGTGTGTTTCCCATGGAGCACTGGAGTGTGCCAGAGCCATCTATGCCCACGCTCTGCAGATGTTCCCCAGTAAAAAAAGTGTGTGGCTTAGAGCTGCCTACTTTGAGAAAAATAACGGCACCAGGTGACAAGCTTTGGTTTCTAAAGATCTAACTTTCATGCTTTTATGGTTTGTTTGTTTAATGAAGGGTCCGTCTTTAACTTTTAACTTTCACTGTGCTCCTCCCCCCATTGCTGTTCCAAATCTCTGCATCTCTCAGGGAGTCCCTGGAGGCCCTGCTCCAAAGAGCCGTGGCTCACTGTCCCAAAGCAGAGGTGCTGTGGCTGATGGGAGCCAAGTCCAAGTGGCTGGCTGAGGATGTTCCTGCTGCCAGAAGTATTCTCGCTCTGGCTTTCCAGGTGACTATGCTGCAAACTATGACTTGTTCACGTGGTACTTTCTCTGTTTTCCCTTTCCTGTTACTCCCCCTCTTACACTCGTGCTCTGTCGTTTCTCCTTTTTCTCTTCCTCTCCAGGCGAACCCAAACAGTGAAGAGATCTGGCTGGCTGCTGTCAAGCTGGAGTCTGAGAATAACGAGTATGAAAGAGCCCGTCGACTTCTGGCTAAGGCCCGCAGCAGTGCCCCGACAGCAAGGGTAAGTGTGTCAGTCAGAAAGTGGAAAAGAGAGATTTTCCTTTTTTAAACTCTCATGAGGATCCGGTACAAAAAAAAGGGCAGAAATCTGCAAGTAGTCACAGACTTGATGGCTAAAGTTTTAGAATTGTCTCCACATTACGTTATATATCACTGTTTTCATAACCTTTCGTTTGGGTTATGTTGGATTAAACAGACTGAAAAGAGTTGTCATCCAAATAATGAAATGACCTTCCTTATTGCCATTTTTGACTGTTTGTACAGGGGGAAAGATTTCATGTGTATTTACTAGGGATGTAACGATACCAAAAACTCACGGTACGATAATATCGCGATAACAAGTCCACGGTACGGTATTTATCGCGATATTGAATAATACATTTTTTTTTTTAATGTTCTTTATTACATAATAAATCTGATTTGGACAGCATTTTAGTCGGATTTTAAAGTGTCAAAAACAAAGTGACTGGAACAAGAAAACCATTTTTGTACCTATAGTACTACCAAACAAAGTAGGCATTTTCTTTGTGCCACTGCATCTCACAAATAAACAAGGACATTTAATAATCAGACCCTGCAATAAAATAAATCAAGTTTCACTTTAGTTTTTCAAGTAACTCAACTCAAACTCACTAGTCACTCACTCAGCATCATCAGACAGGTTTTTAGGAATATGAGAATGTCCACATTTCCAGGTATTTATAAGCTGGGATGTTTGGGCATTTACAATATCCCCTGCTCTGGAAAAAACTCTCTCGCTTGGTACTGATGTTGCCGGGACAGCAGTGGTCGCGTTAACCGAATATGTTATTTATCAATGACGAAAAAATCTGAAAGCAGTCTGTCATTTTGACAGATTAGAACAAACTGGGAACAGCGCCAACGTTTCCCCGCAGCGAGGCTCTGGTGTTATGCCGTGGTATGCATGCCCTCCAAAAGGAATATAGTTTCCAAACCGTACTTTGTCGTACAGATCAATACATGTCTAGGAGGTTTTGCTTTACGCTGTGCGCGCTCCCGCGAGGTGCATGCACACACGGCATAACACCGCCCCCCCCCCCGTTGACAGTTCACGAGCGTGCTCTCTCGTGAACTGTTCAGACCCGACGGGTAATAAGAGATATTTTACGATCCTGTCTGTCAATATGACGGACAGCGAAAGAGTCTAACGCCACCTCAGTGGGACGGAGAGATATGCTTTGGCCATGGGTGACAGCAGTGGGTCAAACTGTGCATTGTCTCTCCACCACTTCAAAAGGCTTATTGACAGAGATATAAATATACTGTTGGTACTTGTCAATGTCTCTAGGTGTGTAAATGTAGCACTATAAATACGATGTCCTTTTGTGTTCTGTTGTTTTATGTTCATGTTGTAACCTACTTGCTGCCATGTTGGACAGGTCTCTCTTGAAAAAGAGATCGATGATCTCAATGGGACCACCTGGTTAAATAAAGGTTTAAAAAATAAATAATTAATGTAAAAAAAAAATCGCGGTACATTTTGTCAGTCTCACGACGGTATTGGGACGTTTATTTACCGCGATATTCGGTATATCGTTACATCCCTAGTATTTACATGGTTATTTCATTTTACTCTATGATCAATTATTAACAGAACATTAATAGTGCATTGTTTGAGATATATTCAACACATAAGCTGTCTTTCTCAGGCTCAGGCTTGCCAGGTTACTACACCTCAAAACAATTAGCACCACATGTTGACGGATGCTGTCAGTAGTGCACTATAGTTGTCAATCTCTTCTTTTATTTATCTATTTTTGTATTTGCTGACTGGTACTACTAAGCGAGCCCACTTTAATCTTGGGTATAGATTGTTCTGTCAGGAAAGACACCTTCTTTGTGTTAATGATGCAGCATTCCAGCTATGCCATAGGATGACCGTATTAGATACAGTTCAAAGTTGGTAAAGTATTTGTGTTGCATTATGGGGGCTATTTTTTTAACAGTGGTAATGTATGGCATGTACATGACAATTCCATGGGACATTTAAAAGAGGAATTACTTTTGTGGACATATTGTCTAAAGAAATCATGTGTTTGTATGTTTGATTTCTCTCCAGGTGTTTATGAAGTCGGTGAAGTTGGAGTGGGTGTTGGGAAACATAGACGCTGCTCAGGAGCTGTGCACCGAGGCCCTGAAACACTACGAGGACTTCCCCAAACTGTGGATGATGAGAGGGCAGATAGAAGAGCAGGGTGAAAACATGGATAAGGCCAGAGAGGCCTACAACCAAGGGGTGAGGAGGGGGCAGTGTCTGGAAGAGTTTGTTTAATTATAATAATAATAACTAAACGATAGAGATATGAAATCTTTGATCCTGTGTTTTTATGAAAATGTGTGATTTCCCCTATAACCGTTTTTCTGTCTCTGTAGTTGAAAAAGTGTCCCCACTCGAGCGGCCTGTGGTGGCTGCTGTCTCGCCTGGAAGAGCGAGTCGGACAGCTGACCAGAGCCAGGGCCATCCTGGAGAAGGCCCGACTCAAGAACTCCCAGAGCCCCGAGCTGTGGTGAGAAGATACACAACAGAGCAATGTGGTCATCCATTTAAAAGGCAAAAGCAGGACTCTGTCTGATGTCAATGTCAAACAACTAAAGTATAAGAGAAATGCAAAGCACATGTTAAGCTGTGACTAAAAGGATGTGAATGTTTAACACAGGTTGGAGTCGGTCAGGCTGGAGTTCAGGGCCGGGCTTAAGAACATCGCCAACACACTGATGGCCAAAGCCCTGCAGGAGTGCCCCAATTCAGGTGAGAAGATATTCCTGCTGTTAAAGTCAACTTTCTTTACTTTGTGATGTCCTATTAGAGCTACGCATATTCTAAAAAGTCATCAAAGTATGATCCTTTTTTCAATATTAACCTTGTTTTTCATTCGAGTGGCATGGTTTTCCAATCAAGTTTTTTCTAGCCGAGCTAATGTTTACCTTTTTATATGACCTCAAAACACTTTATCTTATTATACCTGTAACATCCACCTGATGGGGAAATGCTATATCTGTCAGGGAATCATTTCCATAGATGTTTACCTTTTTGCCCTCTGACGCAGATGCCCAGCCTCGGGCAGCATGCTATCTCCCTTAAGGAGGGGCTGCCCTAGCATTTTGTTGTTGTTACCAGTTTGTGACCGGGCAACTGTCGGTCAGAGATAGTTATTGTTGTGGAACACATCCTTCTCGGGGTGTAGATGACCCCGAGCCATAAGCGACAACACATGTGATTCAGTGTCCCTCAGCTGTTTAGTCTATCTATTGAAGAATGTTGATTATTACACTCTGAACTAGTTAAAACCTCGAGCTACAGGAGGGTTCTTCAGAATTGATTGTGGCATCTCAACCGTGTGTCAGATCGTGGCCCGTGACATGTCTTGTGAATTCTCCGGCCGAAGCTCCAAATAAACCGTCAGTGTTCGCCATCAAAGCTCCAGCTCTCACCGTGTCTCTTTGAGTCCTGACTCTCCATTGCGACAGAAGTTTCCCCCACAATATCTACATCAGAGTTTCCGTTAGCCGGTAATTACCGGACTTTGACCGGTAAAATATGCTGAAGACCGGTAAAACTGAATTTCTCCGGTCAAAATAATTTCCCCATAGTGTCACGTCTTGAGTGGGTTATTTGTGAATATACTACGTTTTGCCCTGTCGACCAACGTAGCTATTACACGTTTTTTGTGAGACTGGGTTGGACGGGCTGTCAGGAGAGAGAGGGAGGAAAAGAGAGGCTCCGTTTATTATTCCCTTGTTATTATCCAAAGTTACTCTTTTGAATAATGTAGTTAATCTACTATAATTAGTTTGTTTAATATCCGATATCAATTTGTTTTAAAGCTCAATAAATAACAAAGAAGACCTTTGTCCGGCACTTTTTCTCATTTTGTCCGGAAAATGTAAACTTTAACGGACATGTTGACCGGCAGAGCAGAAACTCTGATCGACATACACCCTAGCCATTATTTAACTGGACTCTTTCAGAAACAGCAACTACTAGTTGTACATCTGTTTGCATCATCTCAGATATTCTGTTTGCACCCATCCCCATTTCCCTCTGCAGGCATCCTGTGGGCTGAGGCAGTGTTTTTGGAGGCCAGGCCCCAGAGGAAGACCAAGAGTGTGGATGCTTTAAAGAAGTGTGAACATGATCCCCACGTCTTGCTAGCTGTTGCCAAGTATGTCACTGTTTCCTCTCTTTTTCAGTAATATCTCTGCTTTTATTTTTAAATATATAATACTTTCCCTTTCCCTGCAGTTTTTTTTTAACATTCCAGTCTGCACATTTGTAGGCATGATACTTGAATTTGTATTAAATTGAATGCATTCCTTTGCAACCATTTTAGGTTGTTTTGGAGTGAGCGTAAGATCACCAAAGCCAGAGAGTGGTTCCTGAGGACAGTGAAGATCGAGCCTGACCTGGGAGATGCTTGGGCTCTCTTCTACAAGTTTGAGCTGCAGCATGGCACAGAGGTAAGGATCTTATTATTGTCTTACATTATCTTAGTAAAGCCACTTTGTTGGTGTCAAGCTCACATGGTTCACTTGATGGAGAATGATAAACACATCCTGCAGTTCAGTTAATGTAGATTAGTTTATCAATGAATAAGAACCAAGACCGCACTGGACAGATAATGGTCTCATTGTATCATGTCTAAAAATGGTTCCTGAGGGCATGCATGTGTTAATGGTATCTAACATTACTTGTTGTGCGGTCACCAGGAACAGCAGGAAGAGGTGCGAAAGCGCTGTGAGAATGCGGAGCCCCGTCATGGAGAGCTGTGGTGTGCCGAGTCCAAACACGTCCTGAACTGGCAGAAGAAGACAGGAGAGATCTTAGCGGGGGTAGCCGGCAAGATCAAAAACACATTCTGAGAAAGAGGACTTTTGGACTGAAAATGCCCGTAAAGAGTCAACTATTGTTTTGGACTAGTGTTCTCTACCAGGATTTACCAATCTGTAGCAGATACAAAGGATTCACACATACCACAAACCCTTTTCAGGAACAGAATTACAGTTTGTAGACTTATAAAGAAAATGATCATTGATTTCTAAGTGAAAACAAAGTAACAATTTTATCCCTTTTCAAGTGAATAGATATTAGCAACAGTAATCAACTTTTTTTTTATAGCTCTGTTTTTTCAGGTAGCGCAGGATTCTCAGTAGACTGCAGTTTTCTAGTCCTCAGACAGACTTAGGTCAGGACTTGACTGCCATCCAGGAAACATTCTGTTTTTAAGCTATTCCTGTATAACGTAAGCTTTGTATTTGCGGTATTTGCCTGCTGGGAAGTACAATTTCTCCAAAGTTCAGGATGGCGGTCAAAGAGTTTAAATTTGGTCTCATTAGACCATAGAGCCTTCTTCCACTTTGTTTCAGTCTCCCATAGGCCTTTTGGCAAAGACAAGCCCAGATACAGTTACAGCAGTTCACCTTTCCTTGCAACACTGCCATAAAGCTGCACCTGGTGGATCACCTGGGCAACAGTTGTCTTTTAATAACTAAGGAAAACATACTCACTCTACTGAGGTGGTGGCTTAATTCATTAATGTGTAGCTCTATAGTTAAAACTGGAGGCGATCAGTTGAGGATGAATATGTTGATTTGTTTTCACGTTGACATTAGGCTGTTGCACTGCTGATTAGTGTTGTCATTCTAATTTCAGTTGTGGTAATTATAACAAAAACCTGGAAAACCACAGAGCTTACATAGGCACTGCCAGGGTGAAATATACAAAACACATGTTGATTGAATCCACCTTACAGTATGTTGTGAATGAACTCTTTATGTATCGGGGGGGATAGTTGTTGTTGTCAACACTTGTGTTTGCTAAAAGAAAATATCATAACATCTTGTTTTGAGGAAGTTATTTCCATGTCCAGATTTGACTCTGTTTAGTATTTGTATATAAACTCCTCTTCAGGGACTATTACATGATATCTTACATGTTGTAGTATTGATCTTTTTCTACATGGCGTGCTTAAAATGTCTTTAAATTCTTAGCAGGCATCACATAAACGACACTGTTTATTGCACAATTTGCTTATTCACCCGAACAAGTCCTATTATGCATGGTTGTGATTTGAATGCCAAAGCTAATTGTGCACATTCCTCAAAGAAACATTGAGTTCCTCAGTGAAATGTGTTTTCTCACACACATTTTTCGAACCATAATACTCTCATGTAGTTCCCATGAATGGTCAGCGTTTCTGTCTCAATGGGGTTTATTTTAACTTTGTACCTTTTGGTTTGGCTGAAATCAGTCTATCACTGCATTATGTAAATGTCTCGACATCATAACCAATAAGAATCGTTTTATTACCCTGGTTTTCTGTTCTCACTATATCTCATGGATTATTCCCCTCTTCTGCCACACAATGTAAAAATGTCATGCTAAATGGCATTTTGGATATAAACACGCACGGCATAATGTCTTTCCAACGAAATCGAAAGGATAAAGGCAAGTGATTGGTTACAGAGGTTGTCTTCGACTTGATGGGACTGGAGTTAGGTGAAATCCTAAACCCAGCGTCAGCAATCCATGACGGGGAAAAATTAGAGCAACACGGGCTTTGATGATGTTGGAAACATCGGAGCACCACATCGGAAGTCTACCTGCTATCGCGTTAACCTATCCACCTGAGGAAGTATCAAACAATACTGTTAAAAGACAATGAGCTCGGCCGGATCAGGATTAAGTCATTGTTTCTCCATGCTACTGAACGATATGCCTTTGCTTGTTTGAGGATTCTGCAATACAACATGATAAATGGTAAGTACAGTTTTAACATTTGTTGCGTAAATACGCACCAGATATGCGGGTATAGAACACTTTCCAAAGTAGCGCCGCTAACAATAGATTGAATGTATAAAGCTCTACTTCAAATAGGACTTTATTCAAGTGAAATTATGGTATGTGGAGGAAACGCCTGGAAACCGACAGATGCTTTAACGCATGTGAAGCTGTGGGTCTGAGCAGGATCCAATTGAACATTTATTATTCGACTGTTTTGTTGCATAATATGTACAATACCAATGTCTCTTTTATAGTGTTTGACTGGAACTTTACTCCGTAATGTCCTGGTGGTTCTCTTATTGGTCGACGCTTGTGGGAAACGTAGATGTAACTACAGGGAGATCCTGGTTTCCTACAGAGAGTTCATCTTCGTTGAGCTGCAGAATCTGGTATGAGGACATTGATGCAACTTTTGGATGTGTGTCTGCGATGATGTGCACGTTATGTGACTGACAGAGTTTTAAAAAATAATAAAGATTCGTCCTTCTAACATTGGTTTAGATGTCAGTTTTTTCTAGTCAGCTGATACAGTAATTAAACATGTGGAAGCGACGTGTGATTATCCTGTGATAGACTGCAGCGTTCCACTTTTTACTTCACTTTTGAATTAATCCATATGTTCATATTGTTTTGCAGAATTTGACTGGTTCGATTAATACCTCCAAAGGGAGGGACCACTGTCCCTCAGGAAAGGTAAATGGCACTTCAGCATGTGTTCTTTCAGCACCATGGACAGGGTAAACATGAGGCTATTTGTCTTGGGGTTTGCAATAACCTGTGACCTGGATTACTCACACTAAAGAGAAGAATATCTCAAGGAACACAATAAAGCATGACATACATGTGTTATCAAGTATGCTAATTTATTTAGATAAATGGGAATTGTGAAATGCTGTTTTATTTGTGTTTGCTCTCTGGACTACTATTGCAGGCACATCGCATTCTGGTTTCCATCTATAGTTTGTCACATCAGATGAGGTGTCAGACAAGCGGCAAGTCGACGTCTGACCTGGAAAGGCCACTGAAGAGCATGGAGCAGCTCATCAGTCAAAACTGCAGCCCTGATGATCTGGTTGGTCTTTGTGTTTGTATTGAATTAATATGTCCATCAATACATAAAGTCAAAAGGTAAAAAGTCAAACAAAACTGCACAGCATATAACAGACAGATACACCCCACCATCCCTCCTCTCTTTCACATCAAATAAGAAATAGATAGGGCTTGGGAAATGTTTGCTCATGGCCGGGTCTATAGACAACATAAGCATCTTTAATAATGTGAGAGGAACAGTATCAATACAGATACCTGGATAAAAAGCTAATACTTTGCTTTGTGTATTCTTTCAGGGGAAGAAAGTCTCTTGTTCAGCTGTCAAGAAAATACGTGGAAAGAAGAGAAGGAGAATCAGGTTCATCAAAGTTATAAATGCGCTGATCACATGTTGGCAAAAACTTATTGTCTCCATGCCCTCACATTAGAAAATCGTACTTGTGCTACTATTAGGTGGATTATATAACGTCACCACATCAAACTGAGGATTTTACCTTGCCAATAACACATTGTTCTTTGAATGCAATATCATGAATGTACACAGTTGTCAAGTTCTCAATGTTTTTATTTTGAATAGTTTTATAGTAACCACAGATAAGCTATTAAATATCCACCATGCTTTCAAATACTTGTAGAAAATGTATGTATAATGTATTTTTCTTAGCCTCTCAAGATGTAACAACCATTTTTGTCTTTGTAAGCCGTATGTACAATATACCCATGACATGCTCTTCTGTAGAAAAATAATAAATGGAACTTTTTTAAATGTCTCTTCTCGTATGAAGTCTTGGTACTGTGATTTTCTGCATTTTCTTCCTACAAATAATAATAAAATAATTAACGAAGTTATAAATGAATTGATTAAAAATAAATAAAATACTTTGTCACACTTAGCCACACAGCCTACTATTAGTAATCATTGCAATGATAATATCATCATATATCATGACAAATTATATGAATAATCTAAAACTATAATACATTTGATTATATCTTGTTGAGGGAAATTAAAGGTGCACTCAAAGTATACAAATAATGCTGTATGGACCTCCTCCTGTTACTATAGAAGCGGAACCATTCTACAGCATTGTTTCCGCCCGGACCTAAAGATATGTTGCACAGCCTCGACCAAACGATACCCCAACGATACGAAACATCAACATCACACACATGGCATCGATGCGGTAAATACACCCTAATACCATCACAAATGTCCGTATAAAACTGCATTTAATTTTCTTTACCGTTTCATTGTATTCGCTTTCGTTTCGTCATTTTAAAAGCAGCATCAGTCTGTGTTAACTATCGGACGTAGTTACATATTTCCTAATCCTAATGAGTGTTCTGAAAAGCTCCTTTAACAACTGAAAGCGACGTTTAGCTCTTTTGTTGCGTGGTTGGTTATATAGGTTTATCAGCAAGTCAATTAGCCCCTGAGATAGCCGAAATGGCCAGCAGCAACATTGTAGACATGGATCCAGATGTTGCTCGGAGGCTGTTTGAGGAGGGGGCTACGCTAGTGCTGCTGGATGTTCCTCTGGGCACAGAGCTGGGGATTGACTGCAAGAGTTGGCAGGTGGGTCCCCGCTTCAAGGGAGTGAAGATGATCCCCCCAGGCCTGCACTTCCTCCACTACTGCTCTGCTAACTCTCCAAGCTGTGGAGGAGAAATTGGCCCGAAGACAGGCCTCTTCGTCACTCTCAAACCCAAAGACATCCTGTTGGCCAGATGGGATCCAAAAGAAGAAGACCTGGACTTCTCACCCTCCCAGGACGAAGAGGAGGTGAGCCGGATCAGGGCTAACCTGCAGGACCTGGATCCCCACCTGGGGCCCTATCCGTATGAGGTGATCAGGAAGTGGGTGTCCCTCACTGACCGGCTGAGTGAGGAGGTGGCCAAAAACCTGCAGCCCCTTTCAGGTCGAATATGTGCCTTCAGTGACGTCATCCCTGAGGTTCAACTCACTCACACCAAAGACAGGGCGGAGCAGCCGAGGAATGACACGGCCTGTCAGAGCATGAAGGAGGGACTCGAGAAGCTCCCCAGGATGAAGCCGAGGGAGGGCACAGAGTTTCGTTTCTCTGTTATCCCCGAGAAGAAGTACCCGGCTGGGGCTACACCTGAACAGATCACCCAGTGCAGCCTGGACCAGAGCTACGCCCTGGAGTCTGTGCTGGAGAAGAACCATCAGCTACAGCCCCTCAACTTGCTAGGTAATAATACACCATCAATACAGCACACACTTCTATTTTACATATTCAAATCTGACTACATTTTCTGTCTCTCTTCTCAGGGGAGATGCAGTTTGCCTTTGTGTGTTTCCTGATTGGAAATGTATACGAGTGCTTTGAGCACTGGAAGAGTCTCCTGTCCCTGCTGTGTCGATCAGAGGAGGCGATGCGAAAGCGTAAGGAGCTCTACCTGGGGCTCATCGGCGTGCTTTACCACCAGCTGGGAGAGATCCCGCCGGACTTCTTTGTCGACATCGTGTCTCAGAGCAACTTCCTCACCTCCACATTGCAGGTAGATGATGCAAAACATAATTACATGCATGCTGGTATGAACATGGTCTCAAGTACATATACATAGAAATATGTAGTGTCAGTGTAAGGCTTTATCAGGATGCTTGGACAACTGATTTGTTCTGAACTTGTAGTGGTCTAAATGACACCTTGATTGAAATACATTAGAATCTAAACACATTTTGACTGTCACATCTCATCATGTGAAAAAAGTTAAATCATGATCTTGTTTTTAGACATACAATAAGCTTAATCGCTGTGCAATTGTGAAATTAGTCAAGTTTGAAACAAGCCAAGTCCTAGTATTGTACCTGATTCTACCTGTCCTGAATGCTCACATTGACCACAACAGTAATCTTATCTTCTACAGGATTTAAGAGACCCTGAAAATAGAATCTTAAGGAGTTGCATAAATGATTATTTGTATTATTATCAAGGATGTTTACGTTTTACAATTACAAATGATTACATTGTTTGGCTCATTTTCTTCCAGGACCTGTTCCAGTTTGCCAGTGGACCCGGTGTCGACGGCACGCTGCGGAAGAGAGCAGAGAAGTTCAAAGCTCATCTGACCAAGAAGTTTCGCTGGGACTTTGATGCAGATTTGGACGACTACGCCCCTGTGGTGGTGGAGCTGCCTGAAGGTGTTGCAGTGGACTGAGAGCGTATTATGGATTCAGTGTACATGCTGAAACCATAAGCAGGCAACAGGACTGAAATAGACTGACACTGAAGGACAGCACTGATGCCTGGTATTGAACCTCTGATCCAAAGGTTCTCACAAGGCTTCAGGTAACTCAAAACAACCTTAAACAACGACCACTCTTCTTTTCAGTAACACCAGTAGTTCCCTGACAGTGTGTGTTGAAGGTGTTCCATGTGGGCTGTACAACACCTTCTTATATATCCACACACGTTTTACTCAGTTGTGAAGAAAGCAAACTGTCATTAATGGCAGAGCTGAACTATACTAAATATTATTGGTGCCCTCTGGTGGTGGATTTTTTTCAGCTCAGCAAGTTACCATGCCAGTCTTAAAACTCTAATTACCATTTTGTGTCAAATTCAACAATCTTTTTCCATACCTCATTTTAGTGAAATAGTTTATTAATGACTTTGCTATGAATTATAAAGAGTGTCATACACAGTGCTGTTCTCTTCATCAGTAATGGAAAACAATAAGTGTAACAATAACTTCACCAGACCATATAACAATTCTAAATAAGCAGGATTTTGTGAGAAGAGAACTAAAGCATAGGAATGTGACTGTAGTACTTTTATACCTGTTGTATTCAAAATAAATAATGCTTACAATAAATAATTTTGGTGGCACAATGTTTAGAAAAAGGCAATTGTGGTTTGTAATGTTAAACACATACTGTAGACCACTATTGAGCAATTCTCTTCAGCACTGTTGTGTGATTTATTGGATCCGGATTCCTTTGAATAAAAATACGTTTGATACAATTAAGACCGGTCATGCTGCATGTCACTTACAACTATTGAAATACTTTCATTTTACATGTCAGGAGTCATCTTTCTCACCTCCACTAGATGGCGATCATGGGCTTTTTGCGAACATTGAAAAACTTCATGTATCTTCCTAAGGATCTTCATTGTAAATGTACAGACACGCATTCACACATTGAGAAGCAGTTGTTTCCGGTGCTTGGGAGAATTAAGCTCTGTTAGGATTTGGCTGTGTGTTCTGCGCACAGCTTGACTGTCTATGGTGGATATCATCTTTAAGCTCACTCTGACTCCAACAAGTTGATTTGTGAGGAATAACAGGTGGAGGAATAAGTGTGAGCAGCACATGCAACAAGTGGATGATGTCATTAGAAGCAACTTATTAGCTGTGTGTGAATGTGTGTGTCCCTGCTTGGCAGTAATGGATAGGACAGGCCTTTGTTGGCTTGTCGGCCCGTCAATCCATTCCCTTGTTAAGTTCTTCATTGACCTTCCTGAAATGTTTTGCTCTCCATTTCCCGACTCTGTGAACTTATCAAAAACCACAAAGCTCCTGTGAAAAGAACTAAAGCCTTCTAATGTAATTATGTGAATCAATAGACTAAGCCTGTTGATGGTCACCCAAATGACAACGCAAGAAATCCCTTCTGTTCCCAGAAGACAGCTGGTATTGTAAAATGGATGTTAATGCTAGGCTTTCTTATGAAAACGACCTCCTTTTTAATAATTTACCCACATTTTAAAAGAAGATTAGTTCTCTAGTTGTGGTCTACTCTGAGACCACGAGGGTCCTGCTCTGGTTGTTATTTTCCTTTTGAATGCAATTAGGTAGAGAAAATGGCTTGGAACACATGGTGGAAACCATCTCAGCACAACATGGAAGGAAATGTACACCAATTATTTGTAGATTCAAGTTCTTCTCTTGGGATTAAGTACCGTACATTGTCAATGAAGACAGTCTTCAAGAAGAAATTACACTGTTGGGACCCAGTTGGCGTTCAAGCCCCTCCATTAGAGCTGAAATTACAGTGTACAGTCAGCGGACAACTCATTTAGTGTTTTTGTGCTGTATGCACTCTTTTACCCCCGGTATACGCTCTCCTGCCATGATCCTGGTATGGCAAACATTTTCATTTTAATCTCTTTGTTTCGTTTGGCGTGGCCGCCCCTGGGGAGTGAAGAACTCTGGGAAAGGGACTGAGTTGATTGTGAAGAACCTCAAAGGCAGGCAGGCCCTGTCAGTCATGGTGGAGCTTTCTCTCCATTAGATCTGAGCTGGTCATTTCCATGGGGCTTCACAAGCCGCGCACCCTGCCAGTGTAAACACAGGCCCCTCTGTTTCTCTCCCAGCACTCAGCCGCCCACCTCCCCCCACACAAAAGCAAGGGAGATGGATTTTGGTGACTTCTTTGCTGACTTTCTTGCTATTCATTATTGAACAATCAGGTGTTCGATCATGTGTGTTTGGACTTACTTCATTATTAATGGACACAGTTGTTCCTGTTCAAGCAAGCATCTGCAGTAAAATAATAAATTAGCCGCAGTAAACATTTAGAAATGTTCAGGATTATCGTCCCCCAGAGATTTAGTACTATTTCTCTGCTTTTGTTGCAACGACCTGTGTCACTGCAATTCCCCAAACACTACTTTGGACAAAGATTCAATTTCTAGTCGTTCTTTCTCACGTTCAGTTTACTGGTTGCATTTATCTGCCTGCTGCCTATCTTTCACCCATGTCGAGGTGAAGTCTGTTTTTTTCACATGGCGAGATGCATAATTATGATGAATCATTTGTCAAAAAATAAGCTTTTTGGTAATTGCCCGTGTCCATAGATTACATGTTGGGAAAGTAGTTGGTACATAAATGGAGAGTGTTTACTCTCTGACTTCTTTTTAACCTTTTAAAAAGAGTGCATTGGTATAATTACAGACAGTGTGGTGAAGTTGTGAAGGGAACAATTCAAACTTGTCTGATATTGAAAATATGTCCAGTTAAATGACTTTCTCTATAAAGGCATGAATAGATGTGCATCTGCGATATGAATTATGTTCCCTGCTGCTACTTCCTCTCACCTTCCGGTCTTGGACATTTCCTCCATAAGTGTTGATGACCAGGCTGCAGCAGCGGGGCTTCACATGTCTGACTCGCATGACCCAAATGTGAGTCAGGCACGTGTACATGAGTGCGTGGTGTGGGGTGCATAGCTCTGGTGCCCAGACATATGGACGTGGGCGCATGGAGGGGGTGGGTTCGTAAAGTGGGGATGGACAAGGTTAAAAATCCCTCCTAGAAATATACACACCAGGGAAGAACGAGAGTGTGTGAACAATAAGTTCTGTTATAGTGATCTGCTGAAGTGATTAAAGGCAGGAGCTAAAACCAAGGCGGTAGATCTTTTTGAGATCTGGTCATCAGGCATGTCTGTCAGGGTCGGCCTTATCTGATCATGTACAGCATGACGGCACCACAGCTGGCCAATAAAATGTCTTAACTAAGTCTGTAGAGGTGAAACAAGCAACATGCTGTGATTAGCACACACACACACACACACACACACACAAAGCAGCACAACACAAGCAGAGTTAACCTTGGTTGTCATCTCTCACCGCTCATAAAAGTGTCTGCGCCTGTGCTGTATATCATCCCTGAGAGCTTAACTAAACATTGGACGAGTCCTTTTGAATCAAACATGGTTTAAACAAACGGCAGTAAAGATCCGTTGCTGGTCTCTATTCCCCATCCCCAGTCCATCAGATAGCTTTCACTCTTCCCCCACCTGCCCATTAGATGACTGATCTCTGACTTCCATTTTTAGTGCGTGTGTGTGTGTGTGTTGTCTTTGGCTGTGGCACTCAGTGTGAACTCTGGCAGACCTTGTCACAGCAGAAAGGAGTTACCGCAGCACCCCAAGTACACATACAACCTCTCGCTATCGCTCGCTTCTCTTCCTACACTTATTTTTCTTGCTCTCTGTGTGTGAGGGTTTTGAGGTGAAAGCAGACCCCTCCTGGTAGCCCCACACCCAGGGGAGAACCAGCTGAATGGTAACAGGGTGGAGAGGAAGGGCAGGAGGGAAACCCTGAGCAGACCGGGCCTTTCAGATGGCGCTTTGAGGAGCATGAAAACATTCATCACTCACTGTTTTCAACTGGGTATTAAAGTCCCTACTGTTTTCTTCTGTTCTTTTTCTACTTTCTATCAATTTTTCATTTCTCTTCACCCTCAACCGCTCACACCAACACCATCCACTTGGTGAATAATTCAGACATTCTTATGTATTATTCAGACCTTTCTAACACACGCAAATATAGAGACTTGTTCTTAGTTGTTTGCCCTTTTCTCCCACCCTAAACCTACACACATTATATCATTTCAGCACATTGAACATTTATTACACGGTGCCTTCCTAACATAGATTCTCAAATGCCTTTTCTCAAAGTGAATGGAAGTGATGTAATAAAGGCCATATATGTGATTCAGTAACTAAGAAGAAAACACGTTGAGTTTCTTTGGGTTTTGCTTTTCTTTTTGCTCAAACTTGTCTTGCGTCCCATTGTGGCTGCCCTGATCCCAATTTTGAGAACCGCTGCTCTGAAGTTTAATAGAAGGCTGCTTTGCCTTGGCTTGTGCTGGTTATTTTTTTATTTCTTGTGGAAAATAGTCATTTTATTACTTTCCCTTTTGGACAGGCAAAGCTTCACATTTATCTTAGAAGGAAACAGAAAATAAGAGTGAATGAATGTTCACTTTCTTGACCTTGGAAGATAATCAGTAAACTGAATATTTGAAAAACTCATACATCTGTTGGACGATACTCCAGTTTTGATTAAGCCGTCTGCTGTCGCGTGTTTTTTCTTTGACTTCTTCACAACTCCCCCTCCTCTCAAAGGGAAGTGCAGGTGTGTATAGTCCTCCCTCATGCATCGTGCTATAGCTCATTCTGAAAGGCGCAGGATATGTTTTTGCGACACAGAGCTTTTAAAAAGCTGCAGGAAAATCCCCATGTTACCTGTTTTATTCCCGCATCTCTTTAATGCAACACTAAATCTTCCCCTGCCCTGTCCTCTTTGTACCTTTTCCCACCCCACTCTTCCCTACCGTATTCCACTTCCTCCATCCCTTTGCTTTTCGTTGTCCAGCTTCAAGTTGAATTATGGGCCAATCATCCAGAGTCGCAGAGCAGGGAGTTGGATCCGATCTGTTATCAGCATTTTCTAGTTTGCTGTCCCTTCTCCATTCTGTACTATAATAAGCTCATATTTTTTCTTAGCAACGAATGTCTTTGAGAGATTAAGTAAATAAATAACTCAACATTTTCTTTCCCTGAAGCTCTAGCTCTCACTCCCTCAGTTCTGTTGGCCACAATCCCAGACACAACTCAACTGATTGTCCCTAATCTGAGCACTAGCTGTCTCCTGTTCTATCCTGCTGCTGTCACCACTGCAATTAAGAGCATCTAATTGGACAGGCTTATGTCAGTGTGTGTGAGCGCATATGTGTCTGCCTCCATGTTGTGGCCAGGCTTTCTGGAGCCAGGTGGCCACGTGTTTGGCTCACGGGAGGCTATTTCTCTATAGATGTTAAACCACAGGCAATAAACGCAGCCATGTGATGCACACAGTGAAAGTTTGATATAAAGCCAAAGACCTGGCAACACATGCATGGGAAGACATTAGATGTTAGGAGGAACGCGACATTTAGCCAGTAAGTTCGGAAATTTGGTAAACGCTTCTATGCAGATATGACCATGGTGGTTTGAGTTAATTCCAAGAAGTTAATGGAACAGTGAGGAAGAGATAATGGCTCTGGATCTGAGATATGTGGCCTAAAGGCAGATAGGCTGTAGTTGTGTGTGCGCTGGGTCTCTGATGAGTGGGTTGGGTCTTGAAGCTGACTTAGGAAAGGTTTGATGGAGCAGAAGCAGAAGAAGCTGAAGCAGAAACTGCCATGATGTCACGTCAAGCTGCAACAGAGAATGTTCTACCACAAACACTTTGGCA